GTTTGTCAGATTTCTCTACCTGTTGCAGGACACTCCCTCAACTTCAAACATCCATAAACCAGAAGTTGGTCAAGTGATGCCTTAATCTGTGAGTCATCCCAGCCCTATTCTCAGCACACAGACAGCTGAGAAGGATTATTATGGTCCTAGGTCTCACAGAATCATAGAGAAGTCAGACTGGAGGGGACCTCCAGAGATCATCTAGTCTAGGGGTCAGCAAAGTTTTTGGCCAAAAACATCCCAACCCTGGCCCACATCTTGACTTGGCATGCCAGGGGCAGACTTCAGGGGAGCTGCAAGGAGCCCAGTCCTCACAGGTGGCTGTGGCTGCACGCATGACTCCTGGCAAATGATGGGGGAGGGGTTGAGGTTGCGCTGCCCCAACCCCTTCCCCATCCTGTGCCCTGAGTCACGCGTGCAGTTGCCACCACCATGGAGCTGATGCTGGGGTTCCAGAACCCAGTGCAGCTGTTTGCAGCCCACCAGCCAGCTGCCCAGAGCCCAGTTTTTTTGTCAAGTGTGAGGCAAAGTAGCTCCATCTTTGCATCTTCAGTTTGAAGTTCCCCCTGGCTTGTTAATAGCTTACTTGGTCCCACAGCTTCCTTGGTCTTTCTTTTCTGGCCAACATGCTTATAGAACTTCTTCGTGTTGTCCTTTGCCTAGGTGCAGTTCATTCTTTATCTTTGCCTTTCTGATATTGTCCCTACAGGTTCTTACTATTTCCTGGTACTCTTCCTTGGTGACCTGTCCATTCTTCCATTGCCTGTGTTTTCCTTTTGCATTTGAGTCATTTTAGAAGCTTCACACCTGTTTACCAGGGTGCCCTTGGAGAAAACTAGAAACAACGGCCACAAACTCCTGGGAGATAGTTTCAGGCTGAACATTAGGAAAAACTTCTTCACAACTAGGTTGTCCAGACTATGGAACAAACTGCCCCCAGAGGTGGTGCAATAGTCTACACAGAGGTTTTCAAGAGAAGACTGGACGGATGTCTTTCCTGCTCATGCAGGGGGCTAGACCCAATGATCCTTCGGGGTCCCTTCTGGCCCTATGATTCTGTGAAGCTCCTTGCGCAGCCAAATTGGTCTCTTGCCATTCTTATTGTGTTTCCGTCATGTCAGGAGAGTTTCTTGTTGGGCCTCCCATACTGTGCCTCTTAGAAGCTCCCAGCCCTCCTAGGCCTTTACCTTCAAGTCTGTCTTCCCATGGCACCATGCTTATCAACTTCTTGAGTCAGAGAAAATCTGCCTTTTTGAAATCTAGCATCCTAATCTGGCTGACCTCATGCTTTCCCTGTCTCAGATCTGGAATTCTATTGTATTCTGATCTCTTCCTCCCAAATCACCCATCACCTCCACATCCTTCACCAATTCTTCCCTGTTGGTCAGGACAAGATCCAAGGTAGATGATCTCCTAGATGTATCTTCCACTTTCCGGAAAGGGAAGTTGGCCTCCACACAAGTTAGAAATAGGCTTGACATTTTATGTTTGACTGTATTATTCTTCCAGCAGATGCTGGAAAATTGAAGTTTCCCATCGGTACCATAGTTTTTGGGATAGATTTGTCACCTGCTAGAAGAGTGCCTCATCTACCTCCTCTTCCTGATTTGGTGCCCTATAATAAATCTCAACCATTACATCAGTGTTGCATCTTTCACCTTTCATCTTCACCCAAATGCATTCTGCTCTCCTGTCTTTTTCCTCCTGAACCAGGGAACCAAGTGTAAGTGTGTTTGACATACAAGGCAACACCACCACATTTTCTCCCAACCCTGTCCTTCTGAAACAGTATAACCCTCGATGTTGACATTCCAGTCATAAGAGCTGTCCCACCAGGTCTTGATTTGCCATTCAGATCATAGTTCTTTTCACAGGCTGCATCTTCCAGCTCATCTTGTTCTATTTTCCATGCTTATCTCATTTGTATGCATGCATTGGATGTATTTTGCATTTTGACCTACTCGCTTCCCTTTTATGCCCCTTGTTGCAGTCTTGTAGTTCTCTGACCCTTTCCCAGAGTTAAGTTGCTTCATCAAGTCCTTTCCCCTCTGTATTGTTAACTCTGTTGCTGGAGAGTTTTAATCACCGTCCCCTGTGGCACCTAATGTAAAGCTCTGCTTACTAGGTCAGCCAGATGATGTCCAAAGATGTTTTATCTCTGTTCTCGTCAGATGGATCCCACCTCCTGTTAGCATTCCTCCTCCCAAGAAATCTCAGCCATACGTTAGTTTTCAGGATGTGATGGTGTCTGCCTGGACCCTTGCCTTCCATAGGAAGAATCAATTGGAAATACCACTTGTGCTTCAAGCTCCTTAATCCTCCTGCCAAGAGCCTCATGGGCTAGAGACAGAAGTTACACATGAACCAGTTTAAGTGATCAAAAACTGGTTTAAACCTGTAACAGAATAGAAGTTCTGTGCACATTAAACCCATTGCAAAATGGCCAAAACTGGTTTAAGGTAAACCTGGTTGAATGTAGTATATCAAACTCAACTGACTTGGGTTAAACAGTTTATGGAACTTTTGTCCCAAACCCCTTCCTGGTTCAAGTTAAACCACAGTCCCTCAGCATCCCAGCATGCTTTTCAGTCATAGGCTGGGATGTGCTGTCTGCTTGAGCAGAGCAGGATTGGCCCCACCCCTCTGCTCCCTACCTGGAGCAGTGAGGGCTGACTGACAAGGGGCTAGGGGTGGGAAACCCATCTGGCATAGCCTGGTCTTCCTGGTGAGGGTGGAGCAGCCCCTGCCAGACTTTTCCCTCATGGAGTGGAGGGGGTGGGGGTGCCAGCCAGCAGGCTCAGGGGGAGGGATGGGAATTAAACTTCCCTGTCTCCCCTCTTGGGCACGAGGACCCTAGCTGAGGTCTTCCCAGCTTCCCTGCTAGCAGCTCACATGGCAGAGGGCATGACCAGAGCAAAGCCAGCTCTGACCATGTCACCCACCACGCAAATGGCTGGTGGGGCAGAAAGCTAAGCAGACCCCAGCTGGGGTACCCATGCATGGGGGAGAGGGGAGATGGGGGAGTTCAATCCCACTCCCTGGCCCCATTTTGCTTGAGGCACTGCACTGACCAGTGTCTGGCCACTCACCCTGCTCCCCCAAGGGACAGATTTTGCAAGGGCTGCTTTCCCCTTCCCCCTCCAGGCATACCCCAGCTGGGGTCCTTGCAGGCCAGGGTGGAAATTTAAAGCCCTCCCCAATCATACTCAGCAGCCTGCCAAGGCCTGACCAGCTGTCACCCCCCCCCCCC